ATACTTCTTTAGCTTAGGTATGATAGGTGGGTAGAACTGGGGCATGATATGCTGGTTCAGGGGCGTGGTATACTGGCTCAGGTGCGTGATATGCTGGTTCAGGGGCGTGGTATGTTGGCTCAGGGGCGTGGTAAGCCTTGGCAGGGGCGTGTATATATATACATATATATGTATACATATGGTGTATGTGCGTGTGTGTGTTTGCGTGCGTATGCGTGTGTGTAAATGAACCTTATGAAAGTAATAAAGAATCAAAATAAATGGATAACCATATGTGCGGAATACCTTTAAACGACATACATTGGCCTATAGGAGACTTTTAACTGAATAGAAGGTTGTTTAAGTCAAAGAATCAGATTCACAGTTTCATTTTATTATACAAAAGTCTTTTAAATATTGACAATGTTCATTGAACTTTTGGTACACAAAGAATACTTCTTTAGTTTAGGCATGATAGGTGGGTAGAACTGGGGCATGATATGCTGGTTCAGGGACGAGGTATACATGCTCAGGTGCGTGATATGTTGGCTCAGGGGCGTGGTATGTTGGCTCAGGGGCGTGGTAAGCCTTGGCAGGGGCGTGTATATATATACATATATATGTATACATATAGTGTATGTGCCTGTGTGTGTGTTTGCGTGCGTATGCGTGTGTAAATGAACCTTATGAAAGTAATAAAGAATCAAAATAAATGGATAACCATATGTGCGGAATACCTTTAAACGGCATACATCGGCTTATAAGAGACTTTTAACTGAATAGAAGGTTGTTTAAGTCAAAGAATCAGATTCACAGTTTCATTTTATTATACAAAAGTCTTTTAAATATTGACAATGATCATTTAACTTTTCGTACATAAAAAATACTTCTTTAGCTTAGGTATGATAGGTGGGTAGAACTGGGGCATGATATGCTGGTTCAGGGGCGTGGTATACTGGCTCAGGTGCGTGATATGCTGGTTCAGGGGCGTGGTGATATGCTGGCTCAGGGGTGTGATATGCTGATTCAGGGGCGTGGTATGCTGGTTCAGGGGCGTGATATGCTGGTTCAGGGGCATGGTAGGCCTTGGCAGGGGCGTGATGAGGGACGGCTGCGTGGGCGTCGTAGTGGGCCGTCCCCTCGTAGGAGACGGTGGGGTGGTAGCCAGTCTCGTCGGCGTAGTAAGTGACGGTCTGGACGCGGCCGTCGGGGAGGTGCACGAAGTACTTGCCCTCCGTGTTGTAGCCATCGCGAGCCTCCGAGTGGCCGAAGTGGGTGCCGGCGTAGTCGTCGTTGACGGCGTACTCATAGGCGTAGTGTGGAGGCTTCTAAAGAGAGTGGGAGATCGCCTCAGAATTATCGAGATATATTATTTTTATATACAAAACCATTCTAATCCTAATCTAGGTATAATGCACTCGTGATCCAAACTGCTAAATTCTAATATAGAGAAAGTGGAAAACTTACATCAGGGTAAGCAGGAGCATATCCCTTTCCGTGATGCACAGGAGCAGCATGGTGTACAGGAGTAGCATGGTGCACTGGGGCAGCATGGTGTACAGGGGCTACATGATGTTTTGGAGCAGCATGGTGATGTAGTGGGTGGTGCAGAGAACTCTTAACATGGTGACTGATATCGCCTGAAACCAGGGCGACCACGCCTGCCACCAGCACCAGGCCTACCTGTTGGTAAAGATAGAATAGCGTTGGTAAATGGACTCAACATGTTTCCCAGTTCTTAAAACTTCAAATGTCACAGAAAGCACCATCTCACAGTCACTACCTTTCGCATCATGTTGAGGTTGAGAAGGTTGTGACTTACTTGGAAGGGCCGCCCTTTTTATATAGCAGCCGCGCCGCTTGCGTTGACCGCTGAAGGTCACTTGAGTGTCCGCCTAAAGGAAACTTCTCAGAATGCTCTTTGGACTTAACTTCAAGTCAATCAAATATTAACAACGCTCGAGGTACAACTTCATCTTGCAGGGGAAAGTTAACTTTCAAATTATGTTTGATGTTCATCAAATGCAGTTAGGAATTTTCGCGGGGCAAGGTCGATCGCTTGGCAAACGCATCTCTCCTCCATGATCATCTCCACCGTGCATATTGCACAGTACTCTATGGAATAACAAAATCACCACTTTAAATCGTAGAAAACATCCAAACCTCATGTGTTATGCAATACTCACCTTATCTATAATAGCTATATTTTGTTTGATTAGGAATAACTGAGCAACATAGTTTTTTTATGCAATTTCATGCTAATTAATAAAATGTTTTCTTGTTGATTCCTTTCTTTTTACAAAAGCAGAGATAAGAAAGAAAAGTATGTCTGACTGATAGACTGGCAGCTAGTTTAACCTTTTTTCTGTAATATTTTTCAGGGCGCTTAAACTAATTGGTAATCTTTTCAAATGAAATTTGTGTGACAGACAATCAGACATAACTACAGATTGATAGAAAGCTTACTGAAGACTGTATATGCATATGCTAGCATATATATACATACATATACATATATAGAGAGAGAACACAAACACAATAACGTGTACACAGAGATAAATAAGAAAATTCACATAGATTTGCATAGATAGATAGGTAGATCTGTGTGTCTGCATGCATGTATATATGTGTATATATATGTGTGTGTGTGTGTGCGTGTGTTTGTGTGCATGTGTGTGTGTGTGTACATGTGTATTTGTGTGTGTGTCTGTGTGTATGTGTGTGCACATACATATACATAGACATATACATATATAAGTATGTACATATCTATATATGTTTAGGTAATACATATACAGACATTACAATGCAGCTCTCCAACACATCCAGTTGATTTCTCAGTGAAGTCCCTCTGAAATCAATAGTTTACCCAGATAGATGATTAGATATTTTTCCTGGGCCTGTTTTAAGGCATTTAAATTGTTATTTGACTATAATTTGACACGCACGGACACACACACATATATACATTTACATATATGTGTGTGTGTCTCTGTGTGTGCGCATGTGTGTAAATAAACCATTTAAAAGTAATAAAAAGAAAAGGAAAGGAAAACATAACCATATGTGCGTAATACCTCAAAAGGCACACATCACATCATGCATTTTCCGGAAATGGTATACCTCTTGTATTTCTTGAAAGATCGATTGAGAAATTATCAATTATAGGAACTGGAATTCCTTTGCCTATAAGAGACTTTTAACTGAGTAGAAGGTTGTTTAAGTCAAATAATCAGATTCACAGTTTCATTTTATTATACAAAAGTCTTTTAAATATTGACAATGATCATTTAACTTTTCGTACATAAAAAATACTTCTTTAGCTTAGGCATGATAGGTGGGTAGAACTGGGGCATGATATGCTGGTTCAGGGGCATGGTATGTTGGCTCAGGTGCGTGATATGCTGGTTCAGGGGCGTGGTATGTTGGCTCAGGGGCGTGTATATATATACATATAGTGTATGTGCCTGTGTGTGTGTTTGCGTGCGCATGCGTGTGTGTAAATGAACTTTATGAAAGTAATAAAGAATCAAAATAAATTGCTGCGCATGCGTGTGTGTAAATGAACTTTATGAAAGTAATAAAGAATCAAAATAAATGGATAACCATATGTGCGGAATACCTTTAAACGGCATACATCGGTCTATAAGAGACTTTTAACTAAATAGAAGGTTGTTTAAGTCGGAGAATCAGATTCACAGTTTCATTTTATTATACAAAAGTCTTTTAAATATTGACAATGTTCATTGAACTTTTGGTACGCAAAGAATACTTCTTTAGTTTAGGCATGATAGTTGGGTAGAACTGGGGCATGATATGCTGGTTCAGGGGCGTGATATGCTGGTTCAGGGGCGTGGTATGCTGGTTCAGGGGCGTGGTAAGCCTTGGCAGGGGTGTGGTGAGGGACGGCTGCGTGGGCGTCGTAGTGGGCCGTCCCCTCGTAGGAGACGGTGGGGTGGTAGCCAGTCTCGTCGGCGTAGTAAGTGACGGTCTGGACGCGGCCGTCGGGGAGGTGCACGAAGTACTTACCCTCCGTGTTGTAGCCGTCGCGAGCCTCCGAGTGGCCGAAGTGGGTGCCGGCGTAGTCGTCGTTGACGGCGTACTCATAGGCGTAGTGTGGAGGCTTCTAAAGAGAGTGGGAGATCGCCTTAGCATTATCAGGATATATTCCTAAATACTCTTTTTATATACAAAACCATTCTTATCATACTCTAGATACAATGCACTCGTGATCCAAACTACTAAATACTAATATAGAGAAAGTGGAAAACTTACATCAGTGTAAGCAGGAGCATATCCCTTTCCGTGATGCACAGGAGCATGATGTACAGGGGCAGCATGGTGTACAGGGGCAGCATGGTGCACTGGGGCAGCATGGTGTACAGGGGCTACATGGTGTTTTGGAGTCGCGTGGCGATGTAGTGGGTGGTGCAGAGAACTCTTAACATGGTGACTGGTATCGCCTGAAACGAGGGCGACCACGCCTGCCACCAGCACCAAGCCTACCTGTTGGTAAAGATAGAATAGCGTTGGTAAATAGAGTCAACATGTTTCCCAGTTCTTAAAATTTCAAATGTCACAGAAAGCACCATCTCAGTCACTACCTTTCGCATCATGTTGAGGTTGAGAAGGTTGTGACTTACTGGGAAGGGCCGCCCTTTATATAAAGCTGCCGCGCCGCATGCGTTGACCGCTGAAGGTCACTTGTGTGTCCACCTAAAGGGAACTTGTCAAGTGCTTTTTGGGCTTACCTGCAAGTCAATCAGACATTAACTACATTCGAAGTTCAACTTGATCTTGTAGGAGAAATTTGTTATTCAAATTATGTTTAACGTTCATTACCCAGACTAAAGGGAATTGGATGGTATTCCTCTTTATACCTTCTGTTGGAATTCGTTGGTGTGGCAAGGTCGATCGCTTCGCAAATGGATCATGTCCACCGTGCAATTCAGAGAAGAGGAGTCTTATCAGCTGTCACAGATATAGACATAGAAGGGACTGCAAAAAGACGACGAAAATGATCATGGTTCCATGAAGTATGACGAAGACATTGTTAGAACCTCTGAGATAGGCATAATATAATAGTCTATATCGGTCTGTAATCTCGAAGGGAGTAAATTGCAATAACGAGACTACGCTTATTGCACAGAGCTCTGTGGAATAATAAAATCACTTTAAATTGTGGGAAACATCCAGTCCTGGTGCATTATGCACCTTATTTATAGATGCTCTTTTCTAATCGAGCAAAATCGTTCTTTTTATGTATTTTTTCATCTTAATTAATAAAATGTTTTGTTGATTCCTCTCGTTTTACATAAAAAGAAATAAGAAAGATATTCAGAGGTGAACACTGGGGTACAGCCTTTCAGGTATATCTGACTGATTGTCCTTTTAACGCAATAAGTTCAGTCAAACTGGGAGAAGCTTCACCGTCTTTCCATATTTTTCAGGACGCGTAAATAGATCGGTGATCATTTCAAATAAAATTTGTGTGATACTTAGACAAACAGACATAACTACAGATTAACAGAAAGCTTACTTAAGACTGCATATGTATATGCGTGTTTATACATATATATACTTATGCATATGTTTATATATATACATATATTTTATATATATGTATATATGTAGATATATATATAGAGAGAACACAGACACAAATCTAGTAACGTGTACACAAAAATGAATAAGAAAATTCACATAGATATACGTACCTAGATGTATATATGCATGTATATATATATGTGTGAGTGTTTGTGTGTGTCTGTGTGAGTGTGTGTGTTTGTGTGCATGTGTGTTTGTGTTACATATACATATACGTTGATATATACATATATAAGTATGTACGTATGTACTTATCTATGTATAGGTAATGCATACAGACATTTGTAATACAGCTCTACAAACACATCCAGTTAATTTCTCGATGAGGACCTGAAATAAATGGTTTACCCAGATAGATACTTAGATATTTTTCCCTGGTCTGTTTTAAGGCATATACATTGCTATTTGATTAATATTTTACACACGCACACACACACACACACACACACACACACACACATATATATATATATATATATATATATATATATATATATATATATATGTATATATACATATAGTGTGTGTGTGCGTGTGTGTGTGCTTGCGTGTGTAAATGAACCTTTTGAAATAAAAAGTTAAAATAAACGGATAACCATATGTGCGGAATACCTCAAAAGGCACATCACATGCATTTTCCGGAAATGGTATACCTCTTGTATTTGTTGAAAGATCGATTGTGAAATGTCATATTATGTATTATAGGATTTGGAATTCCTTTGCCTATAAGAGACTTTTCACTGAATAAAAGGTTACTTGAGTCAAATAATCAGATTTACAGTTTCATTTTATTATACAAATGTATTTTAAATATTGACAATGTTCTTTGAACTTTTCGTACATAAAGAATATTTCTTTAGCTTAAGCATGATAGGTGGGTAGAACTGGGGCATGATATGTTGGCTCAGGGGCGTGATATGCTGGTTCGGGGGCATGGTAAGCCTTGGCAGGGGCGTGGTGAGGGACGGCTGCGTGGGCGTCGTAGTGGGCCGTCCCCTCGTAGGAGACGGTGGGGTGGTAGCCAGTCTCGTCGGCGTAGTAAGTGACGGTCTGGACGCGGCCGTCGGGGAGGTGCACGAAGTACTTGCCCTCTGTCTTGTAGCCGTCGCGAGCCTCTGAGTGGCCAAAGTGGGTGCCGGCGTAGTCGTCGTTGACAGCGTACTCATAGGCGTAGTGTGGAGGCGTCTAAAGAGAGTGGACGTGGTGTTACGTGACATAACTCTTTGCTTCGATAGAAGGTATCCTTTTCAAAAAAACTTTCCTCTCATACTATATATAATATGAAAAAAACAACAACTGTTAAACGTTAATTAACTTACATCAGGATAAGCAGGAGCATATCCTTTTCCGTGATGCACAGGAGCAGCATGATGTACAGGGGCAGCATGGTGTACAGGGGCAGGATGGTGTACAGGGGCAGCATGGTGTACAGGGGCAGCATGGTGTACAGGGGCAGCATGATGTACAGGCGCAGCATGGTGTACAGGGGCAGCATGGTGTACAGGGGCTACATGATGTTTTGGAGCAGCATGGTGATCTAGTGGGTGGTGCAGTGAACTCTTAACATGGTGACTGATTTCGCCTGAAACCAGGGCGACCACGCCTGCCACCAGCACCAAGCATACCTGTTGGTAAAGATAGAATAGCGTTGGTAAATGGAGTCAACATGTTTCCCAGTTCTTAAAACTTCAAATATCATAGAAGGCACCATCTCAGAGTCACTACCTTTCGCATCATGTTGAGGTTGAGAAGGTTGTGGCTGAGTGGGAAACGCCGCCCTTTTTATATAGCTGCCGCGCTGAAGGTCACTTGAGTGTCCGCCTAAAGGGAATTTCTCTGAATGCTCTTTGGGCTTAACTTCAAGTCAATCAAATATTAACAACGTTCGAGGTACAACTTCATCTTGCAGGGGAAAGTTAACTTTCAAATTATGTTTGATGTTCATCAAATGCAGTTAGGAATTTTCGCGGGGCAAGGTCGATCGCTTGGCAAACGCATCTCTCCTCCATGATCATCTCCACCGTGCATATTGCACAGTGCTCTGTGGAATAACAAAATCACCACTTTAAATCGTGGAAACCATCCAAACCTCATGTGTTATGCAATACTCACCTTATCTATAATAGCTCTATTTTGTTTGATTAGGAATAATTGAGCAAAATAGTTTTTTATGCTAATTAATAAAATGTTTTCTTGTTGATTCCTTTCTTTTTACTTAAGCAGAGATAAGAAAGATGTCTGACTGATAGCCTGGCAGAAAGTTTAACCTTTTTTCTGCAATATTTTTCAGGGAGCTTAAACTAATTGGTAATCTTTTCAAATGAAATTTGTGAGACAGACAGACAATCAGACATAACTACAGATTGATAAAAAGCTTACTGAAGACTGTATATGCATATGCTAGCATATATATACATATATATACATATATAGAGAGAGAACACAAACACAGTAACGTGTACACAGAGATAAATAAGAAAACTCACATAGATTTGCATAGATAGATAGGTAGATCTGTGTGTCTGCATGCATGTATATATGTGTGTATATATGTGTGTGTGTGCGTGTGTTTGTGTGCATGTGTGTGTGTGTGCATGTGTATTTGTGTGTGTGTCTGTGTGTATGTGTGTGCACATACATATACATAGACATATACATATATAAGTATGTACATATATATCTATCTATGTTTAGGTAATACATATACAGACATTACAATGCAGCTCTCCAACACATCCAGTTGATTTCCCAGTGAAGTCCCTCTGAAATCAATAGTTTACCCAAATAGATGATTAGATATTTTTTCCTGGGCCTGTTTTAAGGCATTTAAATTGTTATTTGACTATAATTTGACACACACGGACACACAAATATATACATTTACATATATGTGTGTGTGTGTCTCTGTGTGTGCGCATGTGTGTAAATAAACCATTTAAAAGTAATAAAAAGAAAAGGAAAGGAAAACATAACCATATGTGCGGAATACCTCAAAAGACACACATCACATCATGCATTTTCCGGAAATGGTATACCTCTTGTATTTCTTGAAAGATCGATTGAGAAATTATCAATTATAGGAACTGGAATTCCTTTGCCTGTAAGAGACTTTTAACTGAATAGAAGGTTGTTTAAGTCAAATAATCAGATTCACAGTTTCATTTTATTATACAAAAGTCTTTTAAATATTGACAATGTTCATTGAACTTTTGGTACACAAATACTTCTTTAGTTTAGGCATGATAGGTGGGTAGAACTGGGGCATGATATGCTAGTTCAGGGGCGTGGTATGTTGGCTCAGGGGCGTGTACATATATACATATATATGTATACATATAGTGTATGTGCCTGTGTGTGTGTTTGCGTGCGCATGCGTGTGTGTAAATGAACCTTATGAAAGTAATAAAGAATCAAAATAAATGGATAACCATATGTGCGGAATACCTTTAAACGACATACATTGGCCTATAAGAGACTTTTAACTAAATAGAAGGTTGTTTAAGTCAAAGAATCAGATTCACAGTTTCATTTTATTATACAAAAGTCTTTTAAATATTGACAATGTTCATTGAACTTTTGGTACACAAAGAATACTTCTTTAGTTTAGGCATGATAGGTGGGTAGAACTGGGACATGATATGCTGGCTCAGGGGCGTGATATGCTGGTTCAGGGGCGTGGTATGCTGGTTCAGGGGCGTGGTAAGCCTTGGCAGGGGCGTGGTGAGGGACGGCTGCGTGGGCGTCGTAGTGGGCCGTCCCCTCGTAGGAGACGGTGGGGTGGTAGCCAGTCTCGTCGGCGTAGTAAGTGACGGTCTGGACGCGGCCGTCGGGGAGGTGCACGAAGTACTTGCCCTCCGTGTTGTAGCCGTCGCGAGCCTCCGAGTGGCCGAAGTGGGTGCCTGCGTAGTCGTCGTTGACGGCGTACTCATAGGCGTAGTGTGCAGGCGTCTAAAGAGAGTGGACGTGGTGTTACGTGACATAACTCTTTGCTTCGATAGAAGGTATCTTTTTCAAAAAAAGAACTTTCCTCTCATACTATAGATAATATGAAAAAAAATATAAAAAACTGTTAACGTAAATTAAGTTGAACTTACATCAGGATAAGCAGGAGCATATCCTTTTCCGTGATGCACAGGAGCAGCATGATGTACAGGGGCAGCATGGTGTACAGGAATAGCATGGTGTACTGGGGCAGCATGGTGTACAGGGGCTACATGATGTTTTGGAACAGCATGGTGATGTAGTGGGTGGTGCAGAGAACTCTTAACATGGTGACTGATATCGCCTGAAACGAGGGCGACCACGCCTGCCACCAGCACCAAGCCTACCTGTTGGTAAAGATAGAATAGCGTTGGTAAATGGACTCAACATGTTTCACAGTTCTTAAAACTTCAAATGTAACAGAAAGCACCATCTCACAGTCACTACCTTTCGCATCATGTTGAGGTTGAGAAGGTTGTGACTTACTGGGAAGGGCCGCCCTTTTTATATAGCAGCCGCGCCGCTTGTGTTGACCGCTGAAGGTCACTTGTGTGTCCGCCTAAAGGAAACTTCTCAGAATGCTCTTTGGGCTTAACTGCAAGTCAATCAAATATTAACAACGCTCGAGGTACAACTTCATCTTGCAGGAGAAAGTTAATATTCAAATTATGTTTGATGTTCATCAAATGCAGTTAGGAATTTTCGTGGGGAAGGTCGATCGCTTGGCAAACGCATCTCTCCTCCATGATCATCTCCACCGTGCAGCTCAGAGAAGAGAAGTCTTATCGGCTGTCACAGAGATAAACAAAGAAGGGACGAAAATTATCATACGACGAAGACATTGTTTAGGACATCAGAAATATCCCTTATATGAATGTCTATACCGGTCTGAAATCTCGAAGGTAGTACATCACAATAATGAGACTATGCATATTGTACAGTGCTCTGTGGAATAATAGAATCACCACTTTAAATTGTGGGAAACATCCAATCCTCGTGTTTGAGCAAAATAGTTCTTTTTTATGCATTTTTTTCATGCTAATTAATAAAATGTTTTCTTGTTGATTCCTGTCTTTTTACATAAGAAGACACAAGAAAGATATTCAGAGGTGAGCACTGGGGTGCAGCCTTTCAGGTATGTCTGATTGATGGTCCTTTTAATTCAATAAATTAAGACAGACTGGGGGAAGCTTCAACCTTTTTTCCATAATGTTTTGCAGAGCGAGTAAATTGATCGGTGATCATTTCAAATTAAATTTATGTGATAGACAGATAGACAAACATACATAACTATAGTTTGACAAAAAGTTTACTTAAGACTGCATTTGCATATATAGAGAGAACACAGACACAAACACAGTAACGTGTACACAAAGATGAATAAGAAATTTCACATAAATAGACAGATGGATCTGTATGTATGGATGTATACATATCTATATATATATGTGTGTGTGTATGTACTCATGTGAATATGTGTGTATGCATGTGTATATGAGTGTATGCATGTGTATATGTGTGTATGCATGTGTATGAGTGCATATGCATGAGTGTGTGTGTGCACACACACACATATACAT